AGGGTGTCGATGTTCGCGTTCTTTGTTGTGGTCGCCAGTTTATTCATGCTCGAGTGTCCACAGTAAAGGCAACCTCCCTATGTACGTTTGTGTATGATTCGCCTAACCCGAGGATACGTCACCAGCTGTGGGCTGTCTTAGATCGATTAGCGACCCGGTCCTGTGGGCCGTGGGCCATTGGTGGTGACTTCAATTGCCTCCTTCGCCATTCAGAGAAAATGGGAGGGGCGAGTGCCCGATGCAACATCAGTTCTGAGTTCCGGGACTGGATACACAATAACCATTTATGCGAGCTAAATGCGCTAGACAATAGATTCACGTGGACTCGGGGCAATGTTTCTGAGAAGCTGGACCGGTTTATTGTCAACACTGCATGGATGGACAGGTTCTCCGAGGGACGCATGATGTACTTGCCGCGTATCCAGTCGGACCATTCGCCCATTCAACTAAGTGTGGGGCACGAGCCGGATAACCGGGGGGGTAGTAAACCATTTCGTTTTGTGGCCGCTTGGTTGTTGCATGATGATTTCCCTCGGCTTCTTGAAGAGGCATGGTGTCCGTCGAGGTCTTTCGTGGAGGCAGCCTCTCATTTTGCGGTGAAAGCTAAGGAGTGGAATCGGGTGACTTTTGGTAATATATTCCAAAGGAAAAAGATTTTGATGGCAAGGATAGCGGGTATCCAGAAATCGTACCGCTTTTACTTCAAGGAGAGTCTGGTGTCCTTAGAGAAAACTTTGCGACGCGAGTTGGATGAGGTGCTGGTGCAGGAAGAATTGCTCCTTGTTCAGAAATCTAACCGGGACTGGGCATTGTTTGGAGACAGAAACACAGCATTCTACCATCGCCAAGTGCGATCGCGTCGGGCCCGTAATCGAATTTTGTCTCTCTTGGATTCTGATGGGAATACGGTGGACGACCCAGCGAGGCTGAAGCACATGGCAGTCACTCATTTTCGGGCTATCTTTCTGGCAGATTTAGCACCGCTACCCGCACGTGTGGTGCGAAATTCTTTTCCCCATTTACTACCGGCTCGCTTTAATACCATGGCACGTGACTTAGAGGAGTCTGAGATTGTTACTGCTTTGAATCAGATGGCGCCTCTCAAAGCACCCGGGAGTGATGGGCTGCACGCGCTTTTCTTCCAGAAGAACTGACCGACCGTCGGGGCCTCCGTTTGCGATCTATTCCGGCGGATATGGGGAGGTGAGCCTGTACCTTCGGAGTTAAATAGGTCCTTACTAGTTCTTATCCCAAAGGTGCCGTCTCCATCTACGATTCAGCAATTTCGTCTGATCAGTCTTCTTAATG